CAAGTTGCAGTCCTCCATGGTGCCTCGGCAATTCCGTAAGTTGGTTGGTGCTTCTGTGGGGAGTTTCCACAATCCCGCGATCTCAGTTGCAGCCACAACATGTTCTTCGGGGCTCCGTGTGCATCGCGAGGGCGAGGACTTGCCGAGGGATGCATCATTAGTGCATGCAGTATTTGCGTCAGATCGTTGTCACTGGTTGAAAACTACTACGTCCCTTGCATGTCATGACTTTCTGCACGTGCATGGGTGACTTTCCCTGGAGTACGATGCAGCCCTTGGGCCAATGGCAAGCGCAGTACCTTCTCGCACATCTGTGGGTCTCCTACTGCCAGGGCTGTCGTAGACCTTGTCTTTCGGCATTCAGTCTGAGGGTTTGGAGAAGAGCGAATGTAGTCAACTTGACTTTAGGAGATCTTGAGACATGACCTGAAGCCCACCTCGGGGCGGACGTTCGCCCGCTGCTCCAAGGGCAAAGACCAACTCGTCATTGTTCTTGTCCGTGGAGGTGCCAGGCGCTGAGGTAGCCTTTGCTGGCGAGAGGGGTGGGGGAACCTTTGGCCGCTGGAAGCTTCCTGGACTCGCAGGCAGGAGGGCTGCAGCTTGCCGGATGCGAATGCCCAGCTCTCAGTGCGGGCTGTTGGGGAACTAGCACTGACCTCAGCCACAAACCCCTAGTACCTCGGAGCCTCGCTTGAAGTGAGCGCCGAAAGCTCTTTCGAGCTTCGACTTTACACTTTGGAGAGAGATGTGACTGGCCTGCAGGGCAGACCACAGGAGGAGGAACGTGAACAGTAACTCAGTAACCGAAATGCGCCTATTATGCTGCCCCGCAATAACCTGATGCCTCTTCTGAACTATGTCTGTCTGTGAGCTGTATTCAACTACTCGCCTTGCAAGACAGGCTTACAGGAGTTGGGGTCTGAGTGCTGAACCTCGCGCCTCGAGAAACCGACCAGCTTCCTCTTTGAAGTCCTGAAGCCCAAAGCCGTAAACAAATGATGCCACGCACTCCAGCAAGCCCGAGCTCATATCCGTCATCCACAGTGTCCGCCCACGTGGAAGACGGCACGCACCCCTAATCGAAAGGCTTTCAACTGTTGGACCAAGCAGCAGGGCAGCAAATGTTTGGCCCTGCCCCTGCTCTGGACCTGAACAAGGGGCAGTCTGCGTTTGCACCAGCCTGGAACGCGGGAGGCAACGGGGTGGGCCGAGCAGCTACTCTCTTCTGCCAAAGTGACGTGGTGCCTGGCCTCGGTGGCTCGGTGGTGGTAGGGCTGGCCTCGCCAACAGCCCAGCAAAGACAGCCCCGGATCCAATGCAACTTGCGCGACCGAAGCCGCTCGGCATGCTCGATGTCCTTCAGTTCAGTCAGGCCCAGGGGTAGCAAGCCCGCCTTTGGCAGCTTCTGGAGCCTTTGTAGTGTCTTTGGGCCCGGGTAACAGTATGAAAGAACCGCAGGCAAGCAACACACGTGGCATGGTAGGTAAACAGGTGTGCAGGGAAGGGGGAGCCGCTGGTGGTTGCCAGTGGCACCGACCCCGTCGAATGAGCAGCCAGCATAGGTCGTGGTCACGCTCAAGGCGCAGCTCGGTGCTATGTGCTTCCTTGGGCGGCAACACAACAGCGGTTTTGTCGGCACCAAAGGCAAGTTGGATGCCGTTGGAGGTGGCATGTGTCAAGTATACACTGGTCCCGCCAGCACAAGAAGCACCATCTCAGCCGGACTGGGAGCAGAGTGAATCGACACAGAGCCCTCCGCCCAGGAGGCAGGCCCGAGCACGGGGGGAGCAGGCTCGGCCTGCCACGGAGGCTCAACGGATCCACGCAGCAAGTCGGACGGTCACACAGAGCTTGTTGCACCGCCGTGGCATAGGCGTTGAAACTAACAGCGAAGAAAACTCGATATCACAACTCCACCTCGCAGTTGTAAGCCCCATGCCAGAGCTTGGCCATAGCGTAGGGGTGAATTGGTGGTGGGGATGGAGATGCTCTAGACGATAGGGTTGTGTGCGCACGGTTCCACCGGCTAGGAGCGCCCAGCCAAACATTCAGCGAGCTTCGACAGCAACTTGAGAAGTTGGCCTCAGCTCCTCTCACGCGATCGCGTTGGCCTCCGAAGTGTTTAGCGGTATCGTCTGTAGAAAGTGCTGGCATTTATTCATGTGCATAGGTCTACATTTACATGTATTCGTGTCTGACAGCAGGGTGTGACACTTTGCAACATACAGTAATGGAAGCAGTGGTCATCGTCGGTAGTGGTGCTGTGGTTTGCCATCTTGCGATTCAATTGTTTCTTGTAGCGTGGCAGGTCACCGACAACCTCGTCAGTGCACACAACGGTGGAAGCTCATACTTGAAGCAGGACGAACGGACGGATTCTTGACGAGACACGTGCTCCATGCTGTTCCCCTCTTCAGGAGGTTAACTTCCAGACCACAGCAGCTTGGGCGCCATTGGAGCAGTGCTTTCGAAGCTAGGTTTCCCTCCTTGGTCGCCAATCCCTTCGGAAGCCCTTGTTCTTCTTTAATTGATGTTCCTTTTGCGTCGTGGAGTGCAGTCGAGGTCACCCGCACCAGCACCACAACATCCAGCACCACTACTTACGGCAACTTCACAAACACCTCCGACGAAGAGACCATTGACCCGGCTCCGCTGGCATCTGAGGGCTTGTTGCTTCCTGATGCCAGGTTCAAGTTAATCCATTTATGAAGCTCGAGGTCACCACCGGAACAGAATACGACGACTACGACCACGCCAAGTTTTCCCGGCAAAATGCAGGCCACACAGCAGTGCTGCAGAGACGGCCTTCAATCTCGAAACTTCCAGCAGTAAGGGTTGTCTCAGCTAACTTGGAAGCATTTTCCAATTGCCATGGCCTTGAACACACAGCCACTATAGTTGTCACTGTCGTGAGCAGGTGCGGACATCGCCGTTGCTTGCCGCGGGCTCGAACCCGCACTCATTTCTTCTCGCCTTACTTGCTAGATATCATCATCGTCATCACCACCATCACCATCGCCATCATAACCATCATCACTATCATCACCATCATCGTCGTCGTCATCACCATTTTCTTCATCATCACCATCATTATCATCATCGTCATCATCAGCATCAGCGTCACAATCACCATCACGGCCACCACCGCCATCATCATTAATTACCATCACCATGATCATTGTCATCATAATGATCCTGATATTTACCTTCACCTTCATCGTCATTGTCATCGTCATCGTCATCGTCACGATCACCCTCATCAGTGTTGTCGCCGTAGTTTTGATTTTTTTGATCAGCGTGATTGCTGCTGCTATATTTTGCTACTATAGCTTTTTCGCTGGCGTTGATGATGTGAGGGTGGATGGCGATGGTGACAGCGTAAAGGATCAAATCGATGGCGGTCGTGGTGGCCGTTGTGCTGGCGGTGGCGGTGCGTTGGTGTGGATAATCATGGCAGTGGTGATGACGAAGGCCATGGTTGCGAGTGCAAGCGGGCCTGCAATTGCCGTTACTGGTCTCAGCATTTCTTTCAGCGTTGTTATCAAGTGCTGAGACGTTGCTATTAAATCTGCTGTGGCTAGCTGTCCCATGGACTTTGCAGGGCCTTCGTTAAGGCGCCAGGCCCGACTCTCCAAGGTCTTCCCAGAGGCGTCGTGTCCCACCTCCTTGAGATCCCTAAACTCGTGAACCCAAACCCGCAGCTCCTCTTGCCGAGATCTTTGGAGCGGGTGGTGTGCAGACACTGACAATCATGGCCAAGTCCTGAGACCAAGCTGGATGTTTTGGGGCTTCGGGTTTAAATGCTCGTGCTGTGTTCGAGGACAGTCTAAGAGCCGTAGAGATGGAAACGGCAAGGTTTGGTTGAGGTCGGGATGCCGTTGCTGTCCGTATTCTGGCGATGCATTTCAGGCAAATGCAACACCGGATGGTACTGGGATGGAGGATGTGGACCACAGTTGAATTCGTGCACAGATGTGACTAAGAGTTCAAGGTTCAGTTGGTGTCTCTAGCATACTGTCCTGGCACCGAAGGAGCTGGAAACAGCCGGCGTCTCAGTGGATGCTCCAGTGGAGACTTGGCGCTTCGCCCCTCGCTTTTCCAGGCGGCTGCAAGGCTGCAGGCCAGTCTTGGAGCCTACGTGTCTCAGGACTTTGACATCTCACTCTCTTCAGCACATGAGACTTCGGTTCAAGCCCGGGCTCAGCGCCTAGCGCCAGGAGACAATTCCAGATGTGACATTCTCCGACATGACGACAGAGGTTCCCCGCCCGGTTCAGCTTATCGCATTGCCTTGCGCTGTCGCGAGTGCAGTAAGCTGGCCGTCTGATGTGGTTCCTGCTGTCCATTCCATCTCTTCCATCTCGTGGCGTCCTCCTTTGAGTGTTTGAGAAATGGTGGGCTTACTGTCAGCACAATCGTTGTCCCGACTCTTCTCACTGTTAGTCGAGCATCATCGTCGTCGGCATCATTGTCAACATCATCATACTCGTCATCATCGTCATCGCCACCGTCACCATCGCTGCCATCAGCAACTTCATTATTATGATCAGAACAGTGTAGTTTGGAGCGGTGGCAAGGCTTCAATCATGAATTCACAAATCTTTTTGGATTAACGTTGCATTGCTGCCTGACAGTATGCCTTCCAACCAAGCAGCATTGCATTCCAATGCTGTCGTGATCTGCGGTGTAGGCATCAGTTGGTAATAGCTGCCCACACACATCCTGTGGTCTAAACGCCTTATCGGTGGGCCCCCTGAAGCGGAAGCACCAGGTACCTGACGTGGAAGTGATAGTGTTCAGCGAGAGGGAGGCCGGAATTTGTGTGAGTGTCGACGGAGTTATCACGATGTAGTTAGAGCAGCAGAGATCCACGTTGCAGATACCTGGCATGGTGTTGTTCCCGCCAAGTCATGAAGAACCAGACACCTGCCAGTTCCTTGCCACGACAGCGTTTCACGTAGGTGAGCAGCTCCCTGATCTCCAATGTTAGCTATGCCATCATGGGCACAGCGCTGACCAGTGTGACGTACGAGGCACCTTGGTTGATGGTGTTTTTGGAGCACCGCCTATGCACTTTGAAGGGAATGTTTTGCCGCAGCCTCATGCAGGAACCGGAACTCTGCAGCGATGCAGAGTTTGAGTGCGCGCCCGGCGTGGCTCAGTGAGCAGATATTCAGCATACACAAGGTTAGTGGAATGCCATGCCCCTGGGACTCCGACGAGGTCTGTGTTCTGTGTCCTGCTGGATCATGCCAGTGCGATGGATGGCAGGACCCGCTCGGTTTCAGGCTTTAGGGCCCAGACCTCTGTGGGGGCGGGCGTGGCAGAATGAAACTTCTCCGTGTGGTAGAAGGACTGCGAGAATGGTGCGGACGAGGCCCCGCAGCAATGCACAATGCCAGTGAGCGTGTGAATACGGAGGTAGAAGGTCAGCAGTATCATGCCTTACCTGCGCCGCTCTTTGATAAAGTCTGGCTCGCCGGAGATGTAGTGTTTCGTCTGAGATACGATTTCACGAGTGCAGGATGTTTGGGGCGTGCTGTTGCAGAGAAACGTCAATTCCTTGGCCATTGGTCTCCTGCTTTCTGCCAGGCAGAAGAATCTTTGCCCATCTTCCCTCAACCACACTCCAGCACATTTGCAGAAAGAGACATCCCCAGCTAAGGTCACAACGGCGGCCTGTGTGCAAATGCGCAGCTTGCTTGCATGGGATCCAGCCCCAAAAGCGTGTTTTGTCGTGTAATCCCTCCCAGAACTGCCACGGCTGCAGGCCACAAAGACACACAAGTCTGGTGCATGTCAGTTGTAGAAGTGCCTCACCGTTCTCTTTGCGCCAGCACATCAAGTCATTATCTATGTCCAAGCTGAGGCAACCTGTCAACAACTGATACAAGTGTCCGCACCCTAAACGATGTGACTCCGGACTCAGTGTTTTCAGAGCTGTGATGTTGCGAGGTCAACGAAAATGGCACAGTCGCTGGGGATGATCCATGCTTTGACCAGTCAGGCATTCCTTGCAACAGTCGCCTGGATGCAAGTGTGGGAGACATGTTATGAGATGACAGCTTCAGCCGCTTCTTGCATGACCCTATGAAGACCTCAGGCACTGTGCCCGTGACTGAGCGTGTGCGGGCCGGCCAATTTGTCGGCTGTTTCAGACTTCTTCAAGTGGGCTTGCTTGCTCTCGGAGGTGGCTGTAGCCATGCACCCAAGGTGCGTCCCAATCTCGCGAACATGCGATGGCGTGCAGGCGCCGAGTTCTGTGTGTAGGGTTGTTTGGGATTTGGGAGAAGCTTGCTATTGAACGTGTCCAGAGGTTCTTCTCTCCTGTGAGGGCAGTGTTTCCTTTAGCCGAGAAGTGTCAGGATTGCCCTGGCGGAGAGGATGAGGAAGGCAGATGCTGCAGGAGGCGTTGTGTTGAAAGTCTTACTTTGCCCACGTCACAAGGCTGTCCGTCCTTGCCAGAGCCGCATGCCCGGAGCACCCTGCATTTCAAGATTTGGCAGACCAGAGAAGTGTAGGCCCTTCTTATGAGGTCAGACGACAGCAACTCCTCTGATAATGCGACCTGGGTGGCTGCCGTGGGTCTCCTAGATCAGAACCGATTGGGTACAGAGCATTCAGCAAGCTGTGTTCGCTGGACTGCTAGACCGGGTGATTGCCATGCAAGTTATGGCATTCTCCGCTTGATCGATGATCGATGTAGAAGCATTGAGGGTGTGCCATCGAAGCGGAGCCAAGTAGTGCTATCAACCGTGGTGGTGCCGAAACGGGAGACTCTGAACCACCCTTACTTGGCCCATAGAGATCTCTGAGTCGCTTCAATCAGGTCTTCTTCGACTCCACAGAGGCCCTGCCTTTTTCGAGATTTTTTTGGGAGCCGGGAGCAGAGTTCCTTGTTTTGTGAGATCAAGTGCGCGAAGCTGGCGCAGCCGGACGGCGTGGTCACGTGGCGCACCGAGCCGGATGAGGTCAGAAGCTATAGGGTTTAGCGTTTAGGGTTTAGGTTTAGGGTTTAGGGTGATAAGAGGGATCAAAACGGTGCCTCTATCCCACTTGGGACTGAGCACTCAGGCCGGAAGTTCAGCTGATGGCTTGCTCGCTGGAGGCAAAGAGAGCGGGAGAGGTAGAGGACGACGGCGAGCATAGCCTGACAGCTGCAGCCCAAAGTTGTTGTCCACTGCGGCCAGATCGAAACGAACATCTATTTGCAAAGCACTGTGCGTATGTCCACACGTGCTCGTACGTGTGTATTTGCATAGAGGGCACGGGAACTTGATCGTAGGATCCAGCACCAAACAGTAGGGCGGCACACCGAAGTGACTGGGGAGCCTTAGGAAACCGAGCCAACCCGTTCCACAGGGAGGGAGATCCGCCGGGCCCCAAACCATACATACGGCAACCTGGGCATTGTCGCATATTTCATTTGTGTTAGGTGAGGGTCAAGGTTGGTCACCACCATAAGACACAGCCAAACCCCCGCCCGAACCCCCACCAAGACACAACCTGTTGATGGCAATGGACGGGAGAAGAGTAGCAAGTTCTGCATGCCAGCCTAGCAACATTAGTCATTCCTTCAGGCTCGATGCCGCAATGTGACACGGTCACCTAAGAATCGCGTCGTTTAGATGGAACGACGAACTTGGAGAACGCGCTTCGCCTGGTTAAACCTTATCAAACTCGTTGAAGTGTTTGCATGTCATTGAGGGAATGCTGTCGAGTCGACACCCAGGAGCTGACATTACGACATTTGCCCAATACCAAGTCTTCGATAGCAGTGCTAGTGGCAGCCGGATAGTAGCAACGAGAGGCCGGGCAGCAACAGCTCCTCTGTAAGATTCATGACTCTCCACGACCGACCCAATCTACCTTCTGATGTAGGTATCAGATTGGTCCGTACCTGTTCGTAGCTACCGGGACGGGGCTAATGGCGTAAATAGTCTCAGGACTTTGGGAGGGACCCCTAATAGGGACCCTTAATCCCACCACCTTAAATAACCATTGTATAGTCCTTATATACCCCTTGTGTAGCCAGGTAGTCTCATATTACCCCCCAAGAATTAACAAGGGTAAAGCCCTTAGAAATAGGTTGTAGACTCTCCATATTAACCCCGATACTTAACAAGGCTAAAGCCCTTAGAAAGAGGCTGTAGACTCAACAGAGCTGTCGAGACCCGTCGATCGCTGCAGGCAGTCGCTCCTCAGGTGCTGGACGTGGCCAAGGCGAGCTTCAGGGTCCAGGGCTCTGGATTTTTTTTGGGGGGTTCCTTCTTATAGTCATAGTATAATGGGCCCCATAAGGGTTCCTTGTTATAGTTATAGTTATCGTATAATGGGCCCCAAAAGCCTATTCTAGGCCCCTACATTGCTGGGTCCAGGGCTCTAGCGGCTTGGGGGTTTAGCGTCTTGGAGTCTCGGCTTCGCGGGTATAGGCTCTGGGGATGACTAGAGTTTCGGGCTTGGCCCCCGAAGAGGATTTCGATCAGTGGCCCCATGTATGAGAGCTTGGAGTGCATGTTTCTTCGATTGCAGTCGTTCAAGCAGTAATTGTCATTATCACTTTCTCATTCTGTCGCACGTCTGGACTCTCTTCTTGCATCCTTATTTATGGCTGCCTGATCATAGGGTAAAGGTATACCCTCTCGGTACATTGACTTTGTCGCATGTCTCGAGTTTACGATGTCGCAATCTGTTGAGTCGCTCAGGTTTATTTGCTGACATAGTTGGATCCTGCTCTCTACGCCTGAAGATCGGTAACAGGGGTTTTCATTTTTTGTTGATGACGCAGAAACCTGAATCTGCAGGCGAACGGCAGCAACGTGCCTTCGCCGGGACCCGTGCCGCATGGGACATTGGCACACGTACGAGCATGAGTACGTCCTTCCATAGCAAGTTGATCTATCACGATGGCGGTCTTTGCCATGCTTTACCGTTGACTCTGTCATCATCACCAGCGCCAGCGCGAGCACCAGCAGCACCACCACCGCCGCCACCGCCACGGCCACCCCACGGCCACCACCACCAGCGGCAGCATCATCATCACCCCCAGCCCATCCCCATCCCCATCACCATCACCATCACCATCTTCGTCGTCATCATCATCATCATCGTCACGATCATTGTCATCACCATCATCATCATCATCGTCATCGTCATCATCATCACCTTCATCATCATCGGCGTACCTCTGCTCCTCGGCCTTGTCGTCGAACCACGCGTGGAAAGTATGGCTGATGAAGGCAACTTGACCTGGTAGCATTTTCTCGAGGCCCCTTCGAAAGCCATCTTCAAACTGTGTGCCACGAGCCCAGCTTCTGCTGGCAGCTGTCGCCTGCCATCTCATCTCGACAGTCTCGAGGATGCGAGTCTTTTTGGACCAGGTACATGGCGACAATCAACACCAACACCACTCCAGTCCGCCTCCGAAACTGCAATCTGGTATTCAGCATCCCCAACACCTGCTGGCAGTCTCACATGTCTCACGCCTTCTGCCCGAACCCTTGAATCATGAGCCCAGATCGACTTGGGGAATCCGTTGCAGCCTCAGGGGGGGCCTTCCGAAGCGAGCAGGGTGCGCTACATTCTGGATTTCATGTGTGAAGTCTGGTCCGATCTTTACACCTCAGCAAGAGCTTGGACGCGATGCAGCCTGGGATTTTCCGGTCCATATTGCTCGTCCTGCAGGACCTTCATGCGGACGGAGGTGGACAATGCCAATGGCCAGGTTTCCTTCGGCGCCCTGCGCTGTGCGGGCGGCTGAAGGATCACCACGCCAGCATTTACAGCAGGTTTCTCAACGCATTGGTTGGAAAGCGATACCAAGGCCGTGGGGCCCAACTTGAAGAATCACGAGATCATTGGCAGCTTTGGCTGAACTGTGCGGGGATGCGAGAAGAAATGGCTTTCGCTGGAGAAAGCCGGTGGCCACTAAGTCGATTCTGCCCCAGGCTTGGCGACGGCAGAGATGGCGTACAATGCGGACAACACTTCCAAAGTAGTGAAGCGAAGGGCTCGGTTTGTAAACCAAAAGGAGATGCTGAGCTACAAAATTTCCACGTGTATGTGAATGTGCATGTGTGGATGCAACATGTTCCATCATGTTTCTGATTGTTTTGTAGCTGTTTTTAAATTAAGCAAAGATAAAGTACACGGGTTCGTTTAGTTTATGCTCAGGTGCTACTGCATGCAGCGCATGTACCTCGAGCCAGAGGTTGCGTGGTCAATGTCCGCATGGCCACGCGTAGATGAGCAGCTGACAGGTGTTCTTGGCGCTTGCTGAAACGGACAAGCGGGCTACGATGTGCCAGTGCCCAAGTGGGGAATTCGGTTTTGGAGGCCCCCAGGAGATTCTCAAGCAAGGCGCCGAGTACATCGGCATCTCGCAGGGCAACTATCACCGAGCAGGGAGCCAAGTTGCGTCTCCAGCCCATCTTGAGACATGGAAGATGAGCATGAGACGACCAAGTCCTGGATACGTGTCGGCATCATCGTCCTCTTCAACGAGCTTTTTGAGGCAGGCTCCCTCTGATCAGGCCATTTTTTTTGCCGCCCCCGTGCAGCCTGAGGCGCTTATACGCGGGACCTCCACTTCCGTGCGCTACAAGGTCGAAGCATCGGACGGTGCAGAGCCGCAGATGACGGGAAGAGGGGCTTTGCTGCAGGATGAGACTACGAGGCTCGTGCGACACTTCAGGCTGGTGCCGGGTCGGAGTACTTGGTGCATCGAGCATAGACCACCCCTCTTACCAGGAACCTTTTCTGGTTTTGGCGGGGTCCTCAGGGTCCACATGTGGCAAGGCAGGGGGGCCCATGCAACTACTACCGAACAGGTTGCTGAACTCGGCCCTGATCCCGGCCTTCGTGAGCTGCACCATCCCGGCACGGGGGCTCGGAGGGCCTCGGGCTTTCGACCTTGCAAGCTGGGGATTTTATCTGGTAAGACCAGCTTTCCCCAGGCCTTCTGGGGTTGGCTCCTTCGGACCCTGGAGATTGAGGGGACGGACGTAGGCCTGAGCACGTGAGGATATGTGGCTGAAGAGAACCATGCGAGACTTGAACAGGTGGGATGTCCATGCGGCCACGCTCTCACGCTTGTTCTTGTTCGGCACTTTTCAGGGCCTCGAGGCTCACACCTACCGCCTTTCTGCAGGGAATGGCATGGTTGGGTGGGATGCGTCATCACACTCGTCATGGGCATCCGCGTGGTGATCCCTCAGGCAGGGATGCGCAGTTGTCAGCGCCCTTCCCCCCAGCTTCCCTTCCACCCTCGTCCATCGCTCTTGGTGTGAGGTGCCCGACCTGTTGGCAATCGGATGCCGTCGCTGCAGCCGCTGGCGCAAGGCCAGGGACGCGCTTTTTTTGACGCTGGGCGGAGAATCGCAAGTCGACTCCAGGCCCGGAAGACGATCGGCCAGGCTCGTCTGCAAGGGACGCAAGGGTGCAATGTGAAGATGTGCTGTCCAAAGGAGGACCTGAAGAACCTCTACGTGAATCCAGAGCTCGGGGCTCAACTTTGGAGGACGGTGGCCTAAGGCCCAATGCCTTCCTACCCTTTCCTACTCTTCCTTGTTTCGTGGTGCGAGCCTTGTGTTTTTAGATCCGTAGCTTTCAAAATATCCAGAAGGCAGTGGTGTCAGAAACGCACAACGAGGTTCCGGCTTGCAGAAGGTTTCGCTGGCGCCTGAGAACATTCCGGACGATCGCACATGGCAGCATGCCTCCATCAGGCATACTGACATACTGTTTCACTCATGAATTCATCGTTATCGTATCTTACACAAACAGAGAGACAGTCCACAGCAGGGTGGTGAGGGATGTGCAGCGCAGGCAGAGACCGCGGTCACTGCGAGCCTTGCCATGATCTTCGGCCCGGCGCTTCCGCTGCTGTCCGCAGCTCAATGCTCAGGGCTCACCTCCGGCTGTTGGCATCCAGCTGACCGAGTCCTTTTGGGGTCTAATTACATTGAGTAGAATATATGTGCGGATGTGTCAGTGTTGACTTGTACAGACTCGTGACCCAGCTTGCCGCGATCATGGTTTCTACAAAACCTTGATCCAGCACGTATCCTTTCGTAAGGTTACGGCTCGCCCTGTTGAGCCCTCTTATGCCCTCAGGAATGTTCTCGCTGCTGCTTCTTGCTTCACCCGCCAGGGCCTGAGCGTTCTTGGGCTTGCTTCTCTGAAAGCTTCGGTAGGAGTCTGAGCAGTTGCTCGATGGCCACAGAGACCCCCAGTTGCCCCAAGCACGCCTACCTCTCACGAGGTTATTTGGTCGACTGGTACGTGTTCCTACGCCACTCCCGACGACCTCCCATGTTCGACGAGACGATTGCGCGTGTATGCGCGCGCCTGGCCACTTGAGGGCCAGAATGGGTTCTTGCAGCAATTGAGCAACTGGTCAAGGGCTGAGCCTAGGCGCAGGGCCTTCAATGGAGTGCATGCTGTTACAAAGCTACCGTCCACAGGGCAGGGCATTTCTTGAAACCGCGAGCCGCGAGTTCGCGGCGCCGAAGACCCGATACTGCAAGAAACCGACGATCCCGGTGCCCCAGCCGCTTGGCCAGGTGGACCATCTGCTGCTCGGATTGGTTCTCCGCTCCGTTGGGCCCTCGTTTGACACTGCGTCTGCGGAGGTTATTAGGTAGTTCTGGTCCACGGATGGGCGAGGCTGCCAGCATCCTGGTGTGGGTGGATCCGCCGGGGTCCTGCCAGGAAACACGTTTCGGAGCCGTGGCTTGAGCCCAGCCCAGGATCCTCTTTGTGTCAGACGTGGCAGGATGCCGGAAGCTTAAGGAACACACTTGATGCGGCGATGCTCACTTTGTAGGAGATAAGACTCGACTCGAGTAAGATGCCCTTTGAGGCAGTTTTTCCGAAGACGATGTCAACACCTTCAGGGAAAAGTACTTCATGTACTGGCCCTGGGCATTGCATCGCCAGACCGGCCACCAAATTCCTTCCGCACACTGTTGCAGGGAGAACTTCCGGATGTTCGAGCTGTTCTTCAACCCAACCTGCAGCGAAGGGCCCGGCAGGAATGGAAATGCGCCCCTGTAGAAGTGATCATATCACAACCTCCTTCTCTCACCAGCGTCAATCGCGACATAATCGCCCCAGCCCACCCCGCCGCCCCTCCCTACCCACAAGAGGGGCGATTCACCGAGCCTCCATGATTGAAGCCCTTTGCAGCTGCTCAGATCCGACGGCTTGGTTCTTCGGCTTCCTCCCGGGACTCTCCGCGGCCGGGGGCCCAAAAGGACTTTACAGGCGTTGCACGAAGGGGCTGTTGAGGAGTGATGCGTAGGGGGCGTGGCGTCTGACAAGACTGCCAAGGTCGGCTGCCTGCTGGTTTTGCCCAACCTCACCATCTTGAGGCCATGCCTGGACGTGCCTGGACGTGCAACCTAGGTCGCGAAACGCGCCAGTCATCGCCAGTGTATCGACGGAAGCTTCGGAGCCTTGACGTGGTAAAAATGATGATGCGGATGTACAGAATACTGACACGGATGCAGAGTGCCTGCGGTCAGACCTCTTAGGTCTTAGCTTGTCATTATCCGGTGGATAATCCGAGCAGGTCGCTGTTGCTCGTGCTGTGCAGACGGTGCAGGTCAAAGGCCGCAGCATATTCCACGATTTATATGGGGTTTCCGAAAACAGGGGAGCCAAATGTAACACCCCAAATGGTAGGATCCTTATTAGTATAAGGGCGCCAAAATGAGGTACCCCTTAGTTTCGGAAACTCCCATATTTTGAAGATGCCGGTCTTGCGCATTGCAGAGCTTCCTCTCCGCTTCCCCCATGTGCCATGCCCTGTGCTCAGACCGGCTACCTCTACGATGACGTCGTCCAGGCAGACTTCTCAGCCTCGCAGTCGCGACAACGAGGGTAGTTTCAGGTTATCCTAAGCAGTGTCAGAAGAGCGCTTGGTGGCTCCATGGCTCCATTCGTGCTTAGGTCCTGAGGTGTCCAAAAGTCAGAGCCTCCTGTGTCCCTTTCGGTCCTCAGGCACGGATGCAGCGCAAGCTGGTGCCTTCCTATCAGCCCAGAGCACGCTTCTCAGCAAAGAGAGCATTTCGTTTCTCCGGTCCTCAGCAGGACGTGAACCGAGAGTCTAGCAAAAGTGGGCCTGCATCATCAGAATGCCCACCGTACTGCAGGGAGGCTCTGGAGATCTCACTTTGTTGAATGAGCACGGAGGTCCATCCAGCATACCAGTCTGCCTTCAAGCTGATGGACTTGACTGCCAACTTCAATGAACAGGGGCCAGGGCCCCATCATGCAGTCCGGCATGAAGTGCTACCTGCCACGCTTGATTGACTCAGAGCCGAGATAGGTCACCTGGACCAACATGTCCCAACCTTGCCTTCAGTCTATCTTTCGCTCTCATGACTCTAACGAAACCTCAAAGCCGAAACCCCTCACCCCACCCACAAACAAGCCCCAAGCCTTGAAGCCCTAAGAAAGGGCCCACCCCAATCCGAGAGCCCTGGCAGTTCCGTGGAAACTGCTGCCGAGGCTCAGTGATAGCTCGGAAAGTCGAGCTTCGACGGACTCAGAATGGGGCGGGGTGTCTCCTAAACTTAGGGTGTCCATGTAGGGTTTGGGGGTGGTCCGTCAAGCAGGAATCCTCAAGATAGGGATCCCATTGCTTAGGATCCATTCTTTTCTGAGATTCCAATGTGTGGTTCTTGAACTTGGGATCCCTTTCAGAGGCCCTGAGCTTCGCACACCCCATGGTATGCGGCTCTAATAGTTGTGCTTCGCTGGACGACATCATTGGAGGTTCTATTCCTACAGAAACCAGTTGAGTGTGATGCTAACTATAACGTCAGGCACACTAGCAAGTAACTCGGCATTGTGACGGTCGTTGAAGATGAGCATATCTACCTTGCAGGCTTGATCTCGCTGTCGCTGCTGCAGATAGCAGCGCCGCACGTCCTGATTCTCGCTTTTCACAGTCTCTGTCGCCGTTGCGGTCGTCGTGTCCGTTATGCGCAGGACCAGCGCCGCGACATTTGTCGGGTATCTTTCGACTGACAATACGGAATACTGCCAACAAGACTAGATGACAGCCACCATGCAAACTTGTCTACGCATTGACACTGTCAGCTTGAATTCGTTCAAGAAGCCTGCTACGCGTGCGAGGGCCCACAGCGATGAACTGACCACTCTGTAGCGTGAAGAGTTGCTTCCAGAGCAGGACCTGGCATCAGAAGAGGGCGAGGAGCAGGAAGACATCACCCTGGCGGCGAGCATCTTCGGGAAGGAGTACGAGAGTGGGAGCCTCGGTGGCCTCTCTGATCTCGGGGGTTCTTCCGAAACGTGCTCTTATGCAGGCATGGAGTACTTCAAGCGAGAGAAAGCTGAGAAGAAAGCGAGGAAGAAGGAGAAGAAGGTGGCAGCTCCTGGAGCCCCGTTCCGTCTTCTCTTCGTGATGGCCTGGTCAGGAGAAGGGGGGAGACGAAGAGAAGAAGCCCCTCGGCCAGCTGTAGACAGAAACAAAACACTCTAATAGGGCACCTAAACCCTAACCCTAAATTCTAAACCCTAAACCCATGGCAGCCCAGTGGCTCGGCTCATGAGGCAGAAGAAGAGAAGGAAGAGCAAGGGCGCAGACCCTTTCATGGATGACGAGGTCAATCCCTACGCAACTCGTCGGCACGTGGTCTCTTCCGCATCGGTTCCTCATAGGATAGAGCGAAGCAGGATGCCGGCGCAAATGACAAGCACAAGAAGAAGAAAAAAAAGGATAAAGGGAGCAAGAAGGACGAGGTCTCACAGAGCGCTGGAATTCAGCGACCTCTTACCAACAAGAGCTTGGAGTGACCCTTCATTTGCTCAGCCAGCTTGGAGGCACAGTTTTCTGAAGCAAAAGATCTGCACGGACCTGAGTGGTTGACAACGGCGAGTGGTTGACAACGTTGTGAACTTGATTCATGAACCTATATAAATATGAATAAAAACAAATGAATAAATATGGATATATATATATATATATGTATATCGACCAAGGGCCGGCATTATCGACTTCTGATCACAGTTAACGTTTCATTAATGCCTGCGGCCCGGAAACGCCGGGCTGCAGGTTGCCGAAGGACACCCGGCGTTTTCAGAGCGAATTCCTGCCTTTGATCGCCGGATTCTGTACAAAGCAGTGGCCCGCGGGCGCTCGCAGGCCACGCCTCCGACTCCCTTTCAGACGGTTTTCCCGAGAGTGGCCCAACTCAGCCGGACTTGGAAGGTAAGAGTCTGAAGTTAACGAGACTGCGCTGTCACCGAAAATCGGAGAGACCCAGTGCAGGTTAGTGGAGCTTGTTGAGCATCGCTTATCCGGCAAAAGACGCGCCGAGTTCAATCCAAAGCACCGGGTGGAGCTTCGGTGCCAGCATCTCGTCCATCGAAGCAACACCAACCTGGATCGGCCACACTCACCCGAGTGTTTGAGGTCACAGGAGACTTGAATGCAAAGTTCAGCCCGCATGCCCGTCTTCGCTGCATGCAGGTCCGAACGGCCCAGTACGTAGGTCTCATCCAGGAAAGCTCTGATGTGATCCCGCCCCCCACATTGTTCATCTCTTGTCACTGGAAGCTAACTCCATTTGCCACAGCAGATGAGCCATTTCTCCTCACAATGCCATGGCATCCGGGATCCGTTGGGATGCAGATGCTGAGGTTCGTTCTTCTCGCTCAGGCGGCCCAAGCCTGTCAGGACGCCGTACCTTTGTGGGCAGATTCCGAAGGGAGAACATGCCAGGACTACGTCAACAATAATTGGTGCACCAGCACTGGCAAGTATGGTGCAGGGTGGAATTTCAATCAGGGGGAGAGGCACAAGAACTTTGCCAGCTTCCGCAATGCAAACTACACGGCGTTTCAAGCCTGTTGTGGCTGTGGTGCGCATGCAAGCGAGCCTAGCTGCAATGAGACATCTCCAGGCCAGGCAAGGTTTCAACCTGGGATAGGTAGGACCAAAAGTGTTGTTGCAGCGAAAGCTAGGTGATGAAATAAGCAATTAGCTATAATTGCGTGCAGGTTGGGTGGACTCAGCTGGATATACCTGCACAGATTACGTCAGAAACAGCTGGTGTACGCCCACGGGCCACTACGGAAGCGGCTGGGACACCGCTTTGTGGAAATCGTTCGGACATTATGCAAACCAGGGTAAGAGCGCTCTCGAGGCTTGTTGTGGCTGTGGTTCAGAGGCTCTCGTGAACTCATCGACCTGCACAGACTTGCTATCTGGTTGGACCGACGCTGTCGAGAATAGCTGTGATGTCTATGTAACCCATGAATGGTGTACGATGGCCGGAGATTATGGTCCAGGATTCGTGAAAGATCTTGGCAGATTTAGTTATCACAAGCAGTGGGGTCTAGATGCGACACAAGCTTGCTGCGGATGTGGTGCTGCTTCATGCAACGATACAGTTGAGAACTGGGTAGATTCAAATCGCTACACCTGTGCAGAATACGTGGACAATCAATGGTGCACTCGTGATGGAGCCTACGGAAGCGGCTGGGACATGTCGTGGGGTACCTTTGGCAGTCGCAGGAACGGCGGATACTCCGCGGTCGAGGCCTGTTGTGGCTGTGGGGCCACGTTTGCACTTCTCCAGTGTCAGGATGCTGCTGTGGACTGGGTCGATTCTCAAGGGAACACTTGCCCAACTTATGTCCTCAACAGCTGGTGCACAGCTGAGGGGAGTTATGGCGAGGGTTGGGACTTTAGCTGGGGCACGTTCGCGAGCCTGCAAAACCAGGGACTCTCTGCGGATCAGGCCTGCTGTGGCTGTGGGGCCAAGCAGTCGAGCCCCACTTGCGTTGACGTTCTTCCAGGGTGGTCTGACTCGGAAGGAAACACGTGCCAGGACTATGTGACGAATAGCTGGTGCACATCCACCGGCCGCTACGGGTCGGGCTGGAACATGTCCGAGCGGCGAAGCTTTGGCCACCACGCGAACCAAAGCGCGAGCGCGCTGGAGGCCTGCTGCGGCTGCGGCGCCAGAAGCGGAAGCTGCCAAGACCCAGTGCCGGGCTGGGTTGATGCGCTGGGCTACATGTGCCAGGACTACGTTTCAAACCATTGGTGTGCCTTGGGCGGCTACGGGCTCGGTTGGGACTTCCGAAGCTGGGGTTCCTTTGCCAACGTGGCGAACTTTGGATTCACCGCACTCGAAGCTTGCTGCTGTGGGACCGGTAGCGGTCCCGCGGCAAACCCCTGCATGGACGCGGAGGCTTGGTTCGATTCCGAGATGGAAACCTGTCAAGCCTACGGTCGCAGGCAGTGGTGTGGCGCCGGTGCTGTCGGCCCTGGCTGGGATTCGGCCAAGGGTCGCCTTGCGGACTTCGTAAGCCCTTGGGAGAACACAACAGCTTGGGACACGTGTTGTACCTGTGGCGGCGGCACCCCATGCACCGATCTTCCGAACTGGGCGGACTCCATCGGCAGGAGCTGCTCAGCCTATGCTTCTGCCTGTGCAACAACCACGAACCGCAGCTTCTTCGAAGGTGCCTCTTTTGAGATCGGCTGAGGGCCACTTGTCGTTTCCCGTGCCGTATCCTGTCAGGCTATGCAGTACAGAACGTCAGTGCGCTTGATGCGTGCTGCGCCTGTCGTGGCCGGTCAACTGAATTCATGTGCTCTGATACTCGTCATGCCGATCGGGTCCTGCGAGATGCTGCTGACCTTGTCCACATTGCAGGCTGCTAGCCTGCTAGTCCTCGCACATTTGATCTCGCCGGAGCGAAAGCCTCGACAACCTCAGGCTGCAGGCTCTTCCAGAGCAAGGTCGTCATCACCGGATCGGTCAGCGATCTGAGCGCGTTGCAGATCACAGGACATCCAGCTTGTAAGCTCATTGAGGATTGTCGGCCAAGTTGTGGGAGCTGACGCTTCCTCTCAATGCCCAGGAGTTCGAGAGTTGTCAATCGATGCCACCGCCGAATTGAGGCCAGGACTTGTCATCCTTTTGTGTTCAGCTCTGGTGCCTTCAGCTCACAGGACTCTGAACGGACTTCAGGGAACCTTCGTGAAAGCTTCCCTGGAAGTTGTGAACAATGCCGTGCTAGAGAGCATCAGCGAGATCGGCAAACTCAATGCTGCATTGGACAGCTTGTTTTTTGGGCAGCAAAAAAGCTACGGGTCTCATTGAATAGCCACTTTCCACATGCAGTTGTCTTCTCGATCTGTGTCACCACCCGATACGTCTCGTCCTGCGGCTAAGGACTGTCAACGACAATGCAATGTTGTCGGACGTGCTGGGGCTTCAAGATGTCATGGAAGTGGCCGGCAGCGTGCTTGTCCGAAGAAACGAGAAGATCAAATCCTTGGCTGGCTTGGGGAACCTGCGCCTTGCAAGCGATATCAGGATAACTCACAACCCAGAGTTGAAATCTCTCCATGGGCTGGAAAGCTTGCGCACACTGAACGCCTATCACATGCGATGGGGGCGTCAGAAAGGCACCTTGAATGTTCAAAACCTTGATCGCCTGGAATCGATCAGTGCCCTTGCTGGTCTGAAGGGTGTGTTAGCCGGCGACATCACGCTGCAACGCAACCCAGTCTTGGGTACCTGAATGACAAGAGTTTGATTTTGGGAGCTTGGCTTTTGTGCTGTAAAGTGTTAACACTGCAGCGAATCCTGTTTCGTGTGCTGCCCTGTGCTCACAAGGCAGCGTGCAAGCTTTGCAGGGAGTCAGCGGACTCTGTAGTGCCATTTGCACGCAATCTCGGGGCTTTACGATGCGGCAGATGAGCGGGGGGCCCTGGGAGGAGGCGTTTGCCAGGGG